ATTGCTGCGGAAAGAGGTTGATACTTTCTCACAAGAAGCCCTTTGTTTATCCGTCTCCTTATCTATCTGTATGTCAAACTGTTAAAGCCTTGAAGGCTGGTGATCTGGGTTATGTACTCTTGGGTGGATTGGTTGGTGACAAGGAGGAAGTGATTTCGGGTTTTCTGGTTGTTAATGAATTTGCAGATGTATTTCCTGATGAGATACCGGAATTTCCACCTGAGAGAGAGATTGAGTTTTCTATTGATTTGTTTCCTGGTGTGGGGCCTATCTCTTTAGCTCCATACCGGATGTCGCCAATGGAGTTGGCTGAGTTGAAGAAGCACATTGAAGATCTATCTGCAAAGAATTTTATCAGACCGAGTGTGTCTCCGTGGGGAGCACCAGTAATATTTGTGAAAAAGAAGGATGGTAGCATGAGATTATGCACTGACTACTGACAGTTGAATAAGATTACAATTAAGAACAGGTACCCGTTGCCACGTATTGATGATTTATTGGATCAATTGAGGGGTGCCTGTGTATTTTCTAAGATTAATCTCCGGTCCGGATACCACCAGATCCGGATTAAGCCGGAGGATGTGCCTAAAACGACGTTTCGATCCAGGTATGGACTCTTTGAGTATCAGGTGATTCCTTTTGGGCTTACTAATGCCCCCTGCGGTGTTCATGGATTATATGAATCACATTTTTAAATCGTACTTGGACCAGTTTGTAATTGTGTTTATTGATGACATCTTGATTTATTCTAAGAGCAAAGAGGAGCATACAGAGCATCTGATGACTGTGTTGCAATTGCTGAAAGACAAGAAGCTATATGTTAAGCCGTCTAAGTGTGAATTTTGGCTATCTGTTGTACAATTTTTGGGTCATGTTATTTCTGCCAGTGGTGTTGCGGTGGACTTGAGTAAGATTGAGGCGGTAAGTGATTGGGAACGGCCTAAGACTGTGACTGAGATCAAAAGCTTTCTGGGTGTAATCCGATATATGTTTGACATAGGTTACGACTAGCATGATAATAATACATATGCGTTTGATGAGACTTAGTAAACCCTAAATAAAAAGAACCATTAAAGGAATTAATTATTAAGTGCATGATTACCTCCTACCACCAATATTACTCAAACCTCCTCTAAATAGTGGTGCTCCACAACTCAGTTTGGACCCACTGTTTTGTTGAGTAAGAGTAGTATTAGAAGTGTTAGACACTTAGGGTGCTGGTTAGTGCTTAACTGAGAACATGAGTTGCAGGCTCAGCCGGGCTCATGTGCTTAGGGTAATAGTGCTAGGTTGGTTGCATAAGATGCACCACTAAGTGACAAGGAGTTGTCAACCTAATGTTAAGAGAGGGTATGAGATACTGTTGATAAAGATCAACCCATTATTTAATTTAATCTTGCAGTCTCAGACGAGGGTTAAAATAATTAATCGCACTCTTAAAATCCCACTAAGGTAAAATCTAAAAGTAGAACAATCCTAAGTCAAAGTTTAAGGGTCGTTGACTTAGATAAAATAGTGGGAGGGACATATTATTTAAAGTCTTTAATAATTTGCTCTTATTACACGACAATATATATTAATTAATCTATCTTTACATTTTTCAGTTTTTAGTATAACTAATTCACTATCACTGCGCTCAATACTCGATACGAACAAATTAATCGGTCCTAATTTTATGGACTGGTATCGGAACGTCAGAAATGTTCGGCGGGCTGAAAAAGTTGCTTATGTCCTTGACACTGCTTTACCTATTGCGCCTAAAGAAGGGGAAGATAGGTTCGCGAAATTTGAATTCGAGGCCCACAAGCAAAGGTTGAAATTATGAATGAAAAGGATAGGAGCACATTCAAAGGTTGAAGCATTATTGGGGAGATCAAAGAATCAAGGAAAAGACCATTATCTCCTGGGATGAGCCTCGTTGAGTCCCAAAGAGGAGAACGTTAGGTTGAAGACTATAAAGTAAGTGCTAAAGGGAGGCAACCCAACAAGTCAAGCTGAGGACTCAAATTGAAGCAACCCAAGTTTACGAAAGGAGTTTTTCATTTATTGCATTTTAATTTTTTAGTATTTGTATTTTTTGTATTTTCAATTTTTAGGATTAGGATAAGTTAGTATTCATGTTCCTTTTTAATTTAAGATAAATTATTTTGCAAGAGAAAAAAGCTATTGATGCCTAAAAAGTAGGTGCCATATTTTATGAAGTAAACTAGTTACATGAATAGTGAAACTAGATTCACATACCAATGTACAACCAAGGCTCTGATACCAATTGTAGGAACTATTGAATTTACGCGGAAGCGATTTAAGGACCTAGTATATCAGTATGCTTACCGAATCATCACCGTCTCACAAACACACAGGGCATACCTTTTGGATCGTAGATCTATGAGCAACCTTCATGTCTGTAACTCCCTTTCACGAACTGAATAGATCTGCATCGCAACACGAATGATCTCCTCATAGAGGTTGGCCTGTGGTAGACCTTCTAGACTATGTCTTAAGGGAGAACGAGTGGTGAGTGGGCACTCTCTCACTTTTAGGAAGATGACCTTACCTCAACCTCTGTAACCACCAAGTGAAGGCATCTTGAGGTTAATGACTATAAGAGTAGAATATATATTGGTTCCAAGAAACTCTAACCTTAAGCTAGATGAGCTCTAGATTTCTAGGGCCCTTCTTACACACTAAGCCCAATTGAGCTTTAGTGAAAGAGCAAAATCCAATAATATATTCTCTCACGCAAGAGCCCTTCGGGCTTGATGCGTAGATATTGCACATATCCATTTTTTGATCCTACCTTGTGCTGACTTAATTTAACTAGAAAATGGAGGCGATGAAGATCAAACTCGTGATCTCATGATCGCAGAGGATCTAATACCATGATAAGCAACAAATTTAACCCAACAACTCAAGCTATTAAGTGAAAGTTGTGTAAATAATTTTTATATTATATCCCTCTAACATTAATGTTAAATAGCCGATTGATTAATAAATCTAAATTTCAAAATATTTGTAACAAATAAAGTATAATAAATTATCATATGGTCAAGTATGCAGTTTATGAGTAGGATTTATCATACCTGTTCTGAATGATATTAGTCTCTAGTAATAAATGTGTCCCATTGATATCACTAAGCCTATTATGTGAACATGAAAATATTACGGATAATACTATGGGCTTCATTTTTATTATGTTACATAACATAAAATCATCTTCCTACACATAAATTTTATATGGGGTCACTTTAAATTTTTTCTCTTTTTCTTATTCTCTCTCCTCTCTCTTCCTTTTTGTGAGAGTAAGAAGTTTGTTTTTATGTTATGTTACCTAACAAAAACATTTCTCTAATACTATATGTGAAACCCAATCCTGGCGGCTGGTTGCCAAATTTGAAGTGGGGTACTCTCCATGATACTGTGTACAGATAAGAGCAACCACAGATTCGTAAAGGGATACAGCACAGTAGATTCGAACAACTTGGCCCATTTGTGTATTGAAACAAAACAGCGTGGAAAAAGAATGAAGGGCATGTCAAAGGTCGAATAAGTTGCGAAGAAGAAAATGAGGGTACAGTGGAGAGCGGGAACATTTGGAATGAGAATATATATATATCGGATTAATTTTTGGAAAAATATTTTTTATGTTACGAGAATTCAATTCTGTTGAATTCTCGTATTGTGATCCTTTAATTTTCATGCAAAGCTTTCTTTTTATTTTTATTTTTTTAATAAATATGAAACTCATCACTAGTTAAGTTACACTATGAGAATTCAATTCTCATGCAAAATGAAAAAAATCAAATTCCTTAAATTTTTTTCATGTTATTATCTATTATTTATACATAAAAGTGTGTGCAAATAATGTTTTCTTTCTTTCTCTTTTTTTCTTAATTATATGACATAATGTAGATCCATATATTTTTATTTATATATATATTAAGGATTGGCTCAAGTAATAACGAGAGGGAGGAACTATCTAAAGAACACGAATTTGAACTTTGAAGAAGAATTTTAGGGACATATTTGAATAATTATCACGTCATTTAATTCGAGCTTAATCCAATACCTGTCCTAATATGTTTCTCGGCCAGGTTCATAAGGATAGGACTTGATTAGTTCTAAAGAGATAATTAAAGTCATAGAATTTTAAAAAATATTTATATTATAAAAGGAAAAACGCTTGAAAGTGAAGTCAAATTTGATTGGCTAGCGATTAAAATACAATTTTAAATTTAAAACTCGCTTCAACTTGATTTGGCCCACAGAATAGATTCCTTTTCAGGGTGGCTTATACAATATATGACCAATCCACCACCATTCACCTTGAGATAACTTCTTTCCATATTTAACGACGGGGAAGGATTTAATTATAATTTTTTTTTATAAATTTTTGTAAATTATATGTATTCTTGAAAATACATGGCATAATCTAGTGTATTTTTGAAAATACATAATGTAATTTAGGGGTGTGTATGAGTCACGTTGCGTCAGGTTTTTTGTGCCGACCTGGCCCAACTTGATTTTTATAGATCAGATATTTTGACCCGACTCACTTTAAATTGATCCAAGTTAGGTCTGACTTGATTTGAATTTTTTTTAAACTAGTTCAAAACTGAGTCGGATCTGATCTGATTTTTAAAATGAGTCTGACTTGGTTTCAAAATCGGATCAAATCCGACCTGACCCATTTCTGATTTAGTTATGCTACGTATTTCATTATGTATTCTCAAAAGTGTACTATGTAATAATTCTTACAAATATAATATAATTTGTAAGAATTTATTAACAAAAAATTTATAAATATAACTCTCCTTCTAATAATATAATATATAGATATACCAATGAGGTCACCCGCTTTGACTACTGTCAATTCAAACATTACATACAATATAATATTTTCTCACCAAATCCTAGCTACATATATACCAACACATTCCCCGTTAATTTCTCTCATCCCAAACTCAAAACCAAACGAACCTAAAAAAAAAACCAAGGCAATTATGACAACCAAACTGTTTCTCTTTTTCATATTGCTCTCTCAAGCAACTTCTTCTTTCTCAGAAATGACATGCAAACCAGAAGACAAAAGAATCCTTCTCCAAATCAAGAAAGAACTCAACAACCCAACCCTTCTCTCATCGTGGAAACCACACACTGATTGCTGCCACTCTAATTGGTACGGTGTCGTTTGCTTCCCCATTAGTAACATTATCTGGTCCTTGAGTCTCTCAACCAACAATGACCTTACCTCTCAAATTCCACCTTCCCTTGGTAACCTAACAAAATTGGAAACCCTCAGTTTCTTCCAATTACCAAACCTCAGTGGTCCAATTCCTAACTCATTATCAAAACTCACCAAACTCAAATTCCTCACATTCAGCAAAACAAGCATATCAGGTCCAATACCCGATTTCGTGACCAAACTGAAAAACCTTGTTACCTTGGATCTATCATTCAACAACCTTTCTGGTACACTCCCTCACTCTCTTTACAAGTTACCTAATCTCTCAGGAATCCTCTTTATGAACAACAAGCTCACAGGTCCAATCCCTTATTCTTATGGTTACTTCAATAACACGAATTTACCAAGTTTGTTTCTCTCTAATAACAAACTCTCGGGGACACTCCCTTTGTCTTTGGCAAGGCTGAACTCGTCGCTTATCGACTTTTCTCATAACAGGTTTGAAGGTGATGCTTCCATGCTTTTTGGTTCAACCAAAGCGACAGTGTTGATAGACCTTTCTTGGAACAAGTTTGCTTTTGATATGGGAAAATTGGAGTTGACTAAGACACTAGATACGTTGGATGTGAGTCACAATCAGATATATGGGAACCTTCCTATGGGAATGGAAAATATATTGAGTTTGAATGTGAGCTACAATAGGCTTTGTGGTGAGATTCCAAAGGGTGGCAAATTGCAGAGCTTTGATGTGGATACTTATTTTCATAACAAGTGTTTGTGTGGGTCTCCACTTCCAAGCTGCAAGTGAGCACAGAACACTATTTCCCACAAAGGGGCGTCATTTCTAGTTATTTTCTCTTTCTTTTTAGAAGTCTGATAGATAATATGTGTTCATTTTGCAAGTTTCCTGTAATTTTAATTACTACATATGGAGTCACACCAGTTTGTAATAATTAATCTGCAGTATATTTGTGTTTCTATTTCAAATTTTGGAGCTTTTCTAATTATCTTTATATTTATTTTATAATTGCTTAACTAGTGTTTTCAGGACGCCGGTTATATATATATGGGTTCGCTTTTTCTACCGTCAATATAGATAACTTATCTAAAGTGAGTCCAAAACGATGTCGTTTTGAGGCAGAAATCAAGATATTTTTGTAATTATAATTCATTTCAGGATTATAATAGTCTTTTTCATTATATTTTTTTAATCTTTCACCCCAAAACGACATCGTTTTGGGGAGCGAATGTAGATAACTTATCTACATTTACGGTAGAGACATTAAAGCTTAGGAAAATAAATAAAAAGTTTGTAAATATATATATATATATATATATATATATATATATATATATATATATATTTAAATGTATAACAATGAAATTTTTGCTTTAGATAGTTTCCGTTAGCATAAATATAGTACCATGATTGACGATGAAGATAAGGTTGGACAAAGAAGATAATAGGAAGGTGATACCCCCATTGCACACCCTGCATTTTATAGGGAATTTTGAGGAATGATTGGGATGCATTTTTCCAAATAATTCAATGGATTTTTCAAACTTATTAAATCATATTTTTTTAAAAATATTTAAAAAATTTAAACTTATCAATGATTGATGTACTATGAGTGTGTCAAGTTTTTTTTTCTTTCAATTTATTAATGCTATAGGATTTGAGATGCTTTTAAAAGTACAAAAAAAAAAGACTGGTTGGTTTTTATAATTTACGGAAAGAAAAACACAGATCAGAAATGTAATTAAATGTATAATTACAATTTTCGATTTTTTTTACTATTTATTTATCCTCTGCGTGGCACCCTCGCTGGTTACTGACTCACTCTACTTTACAGTCTAATCAAACCATCCAAGCATGAGTGGCTCTGGGCCAACGTGGCTGCAAGTTGGAGTAATAATGCAAAGCCTCCGTGAACCGGTCCATTGCGGTTTGCGTCCTGCTCAACAATAGTATCAACAATAATGGATCCTGGCCCTGGGTTAAGACCCTCTTAACTAGTGCATTGGTCAAATTAGATGAATTAATATGCGCAGTTAAATGATACATGTGCATCGTTTAAGGTGTGCATAACAATCATTCTATTTTCTAGCACTATTTTTGAAATGAAATAATTCTTTTTTGCTTATGTGCCTTGAAACAGTTTCTGAGAAAAAGAATGTATTTGATAATATGTTCTATTTTTATTCTGAGAATTAAAATTGTGTTTCATAACCTAACAAATAATATAATAAAAAATAATTCCTATTAAGCATAATTTTTTTCGGATCATCACTTTCCTTTCCATATGGTGTGGTAGTGGTGGTGGTGGCAGTGGCAGAGTGGTGATGGTAATGGTGGCGATGGTGGTGGTGGCGGCAGTGGCTGCGACAATGGTGGTGGCAGTGGTGGTAGTGGTGTGAGGGGTGGCGATGTTTGTAAGAACCTGCATCGTTAATTAAGAAAATTAATTAATTATATAGGAAAAATTAGGAAATGATTCCATAATTGACCCTAATAATTATTATGAGGCTTATATAATTATAGTAAGTGATTAAGGATGCTGAAAGTCGCTTTTCAGAATAAAAGTGCAGATACCGGTTCTGCTAGTCGGTATAAATGCATACCGAAAAAGTATCCCGGAAAATTATAATATGTACATGAATATTCCTAGAATATTATATAGGACTTGTAAAATGAGTTTCAAGTTAAAATAATGAAAACTGATGCCAAAAACTGATACTGGCTATGAAAAGCGCATACCGGAAAGGTGCTCCGAAAAATATAATAAAAATATGATAATTCTTGTAAAATTGAGTAGGTTAAGAATTCAAAGTTTGGGATTAAAATGCTAAGCGTAGCAAGTTAATACTGTGTTTTATTTTAAAGTGGCTATAAATACCCTCATGATTGGCACACAACCCTAGAACCAACTTTCCTTACGTGAAGCCTTGAGGTGGCTGACCAGAAACTTGGTTCCCTTGTTTTCTTCCCTTGGGTTTTAAAACTATGAAGCTCTTCATTTGATTTTCTTCCTCTTTCTCTTGAGTAAACACTTGGTGGTGTGAGTGAGAGGGTAAACGGTGCTTCTTTCTGGTTTGGAGTGGCTGTGGGGGTGAGTTGTTGCTGCTGTCTTTGGTTTGGGTGAGAGTGTGCACCTTTTCTTGGCATTTGTGTATTCAAAGAGCCATCTTTGGGTGCAAGAACCAAACTTGTTGCTCTATTTTCGTATTTCCTTGAAGTCAGAACTGTGAGGACCTTTTAGTGAGCTCCAAGAGCATTCTCTCCTCTGTTTTAAGCTTTGGGGTGAGTTACCTTATCATGATCATAAGTTTTTATGGCTTAAAGGTAGTGTCTTTGCATTTAAATGAGTTAAGCAAGTAACCAACTGTCATATGAACCTAAATGGACCTTAAGATGCATGTTTAAGCTTCTGGAAGTGCTAAAAATGGTACCTTGGAAGGATATCTTCGCGAAATGCATAAACTGCATTCTGTCACGAAATATCCAGATATGGGGATCTGGATATCCGGATATTGATATCCGGATATGCCCCCGACATATATCCGGATATTTTGAGATTTCGTAGAACAGTAGTTGCATTGTTCATACAGTAGGCTATTGGGGGGTTTGTGGACCCTAGAGTGATGAAGTTGAACTTTTGTTTTAATCACACTAAGTTAGAATCAAGTGATTAAGGGCTTATGGCTTTGTGTGAAGCCTTAAAACATAAAACGTAAAAGGAAATCGTAATCTTTATGTTTATGCTTATGAGCTATGAATGTTGATATGTTTGCTGGTCCTAATCAGATTGTGATCTGCTGTGTGTTGGACTTGAGCTGTGTGGACTCTTGGCACTGGATAGTGAGCTTGCAAAGTAAGTTTTTGTGTCCTCGGTTTAGCCATATTGTGGTTCCACCATGTCCCATGGGGGTATGGTTATATGCATGTTGTGTTACATGCTTTGATGTTTTGGAAATGCTGTTGAGCGGTTATATGCTAGGGCCTTTATGATATGCATGTGGTGTTCCACCTATACGGTAAGCCTGAGTATGTAGTACATACAATATGGTGAGGTTGTGGGTGAGGTACAAGCGGTTTTCCTTGTACTATATGTAGGTAATAGACGTATTCCTACATTTCTCTGGCCAATAGAATAGTATTGACACACATGGCATGAATATCTATTGCACTGCATTGAGTTTTGGAACTTATACTGAGTTACTGCTTTTAGAACTTATATTGCACATGTAAGTGAGCTTGGGGTGGAAGATCCTTGAGGAACCCTTGTCTTACTGAGATATCTGGTTTAGAGATCTCACCCCACGTTTGGGGAATGCTTATTTCAGGTTCAGGTAATGCGGGGGTTGAGACCTCTAGTGGCAGGAGGCCAGAGCTTAGCTGATAGCTGTTACATGCTTATGTTGATATGCTGTTATGATTGGATGTTGGATCCTGTTTACTATCTTATGCTTTTAGATTCAGTTTATGGATTTCTCTGTTGGTTATGCCGTTCATTTGGTAAGCATGGGGATTGTCCATGCCACATAGACTTGATTATATCTTGTTAATGTTGGATTTGTATTAATGTATCAGGATTATTGTCCGAACTATGTGTAGTGGATCCGTGACATAGATACTCACTTTATATATATTTTATGAGGTATTTCAGTTAGATGTTTATTTGCAATTTACATACAGGCGATATTTTATGAAATTGATTAAGTAATCAACTTGGCTAAGTATAATGACGTCATAATTGAAAAGAAAAAGATATTCCGCATTTTTTTTTATTTAAGCGCAGCTTAATACGATGATATGTTAACAAACCGGGTATACACGGGGTGTTACAATGGTTGTGGTGGTGGCGTGATAGTGGTGGTGGTGACGACAGTGGCTGCGATGATGGTGGTGGTACGGTGATGGTGGTGGTGGTGATGGCTGCGGTTACGACAATGGTAGTGGTGGTTGGTGACAGTGGTGGCAGTGGTGGCGGCATGGTGGCGGTGGTGAAAGTATATAGAGGATGTTTTGAAGAAATTCAAGATGATTGACTGCAAACCTGTGTTGACTCCTATGTCTACTGGTTCTAAGTTATCGGCTGACCAGTGTCCCAAAACTGAAGAAGAAGAAGAGAAGATGGTGTCAGTTCCTTATGCTAGTGCAGTTGGGAGTCTGATGTATGCCATAATTTGTACTCGACCTGACATTGCTCAAACAGTAGGAGTATAGAGCAAGTATATTTCTGTAACACCCCGTGTATACCCGGAATATTAACATTACATCGTATTAAGCGGTGCTTAATTAAAAATGTGGAATATTCTTTTTCTTTTCAATTATGACGTCATTATCAATTACCAACTTGATTACTTAATCAATTTCATAAAATATCGCCTGTATGTAAATTGCAATAAGACATCTACTGAAATACCTCAATATATATATAAAGTGTGTATCTAAATCACAGCATTACATCAAGTAATCCGGACAATATCCTGATACATCAATACAACTCCAAAAGACTCAAGACATAACCAAGACATAATAATACTATGTGTCATGGACAATCCCCATGCTCACCAAATAACATAGTAAACAACAAGTCTCAACATAAAACTCCATAAACATAAACTGAAGCTATAAGCATAAGCAGCATGCAAATTCAGCATCCAATCATGGCAGCATAATATAACAGCAATCTAACTCAGCTCCGGCCTCCTGCCGCCTGAGGTCTCAACATTACCTGACCCTGAAATAAGCATTCCCCAAACGTGGGGTGAGATCTCTAAACTAGAAATCTCAGTAAGACAAGG